AAAGTATGTGATAGGTGGATTTTTTTCTACTTATTATGCTGGTATCAATGAAACAAGAATTATATCCCCTTCCCCTGCTTTTTTCTTCCCTTCTGTCTTCGTTACTTTCTTGTTGCTTAGACACAACTCTAAGGAGGAAAGGCTTATTTTAGCTCAGTTTGTAGAGGTTTGAGGCCACAGTTGGCTGGCTCTGAGGCAGGGTAGCATGATAGAGGAGAAAGAGTTCATGGCATGGCAAACAGGAAGCAGAGAGAGTTCAAGGAAGAGGGAGGGAGACAGACCCTTCCAGGCCACACCCCCAGTGACCCACCTCCTCCTACGAGACTTTACCTCCCAACATCACATTTAGCTATAAACTCATTACTGACTAAGCCATTGATGAGTATCACGCACCTATGATGCAATCTCCCCCAAAGCACCTATGAACACATGAGTCTTTGGGGGAACATCTAGATCTAAACCATAACATCTTCCCTTTCTTTTCCTTCATTTCCCTTCTCGTTTCTCCCCTCTCCTCCATTCCCTTCTTCTCACCTTTCCTTTCTTTCTCCTTTCCTATTATTTCCTTCTTCCTTCTCTTTCTTTTTTCTTTCTTTCTTTTTTGTTTTTAGTTTGCTTTCATCCACATTTGATTTTGATTTACAATAATGCTTTGCTTCACCAATGCTTCTGTTCGTAAACAGAAACATTGGGCAAAGTTTTGCTTCCATTCATGAACTCCACATCCAGGGAAGAATAGGACCACAGTCATCTTTCAATCATGAACACAAATGCAGCCTTTTCCCCCAGAATCCTAGGACAAATTAAGTTCATGAACTGAAGCAGCATTGTATCTTGAATTTGTACTGAGTGCTTTGTTGTTTTAAAATGCAAGTTCTAGAAATATGAATTTAAGTCTTGGATCCAGAACTTATCAGCAGGAATATGATTAATAAGTTCCTAAAGTCTCTGTGCCTCCGTTTTCCCATTTGTAAAATGAGGTGAATAATATTATCTAGGCTTTATTCTACTTCATGCTTGGTTGGAAATTTGATAAGTATAATTTTCTCAGCTGAACATTTGTCATCAGAATTGTGAAGGTATTTTCTCCATAATCTTATGGTATTGCTTATGAGAAATAATGTATGTCTTTATTTCTCTTTTCTTGATTATGATTCGCTATATTAGCATTATCTTAATTTTCTGGTTGCTGAGCCAAAATAACCAACACCTAAACAAAAGGAAGAAAAGTTTATTTTGGCTCACAGTTTGTAGAGACCTTAGTCCAGAATTGGCTGGCTCCAAGGCAGGGTTACATGGCAGAAGGGCATCACAAAGGAAAAAAAAACAGCCCATAGCATAGAAGACAAAAGACAGGAGGCAGCAAAAGCAGCAATTGATGACAGCAGCCCTCTTTCTGTTCCTTATAGTCTGCTCAAGCTGTACACTCTTAGGGGAGGTAGCACTCACACCCAGGATGGGCCTTCCCATTATCCACACCCAGAACTTTGCCAAACTAATCAGTGGACTAATTTAGTAATCACACACCCTTAATCCCAGCATCACACACTTTAGATTTAGCCACCTCTGAAAAGCCCCACCAATGCCTGCATAAGGCTTTGTGGGGACATCTAGACACAACCCACAAGAAGCATTTTCTGACTTCAAAAGTTTAACTCTGTTTATCTTTGTAGTGCTGATGGTATACTTACTTCTTTCAAGTAAAAGATGTTTTCCTTTCATCAATACCCTACATCTAGATGGACAGGCTCCCTGCAGGTAGTATATGTATATACTCAATTCATCACCTAAAATTTAACACAGTGCACTGCCTTTACCACACAGCAGGCATTCCATAAAAAAATTATTGAATAAATGAATGATCTCTCCAAAACTAAAAAGATGTTTGATGACATGTAAATAAAGGACTTCATTCAACTATATTTAAAATGACTTTAACAAAGATAAACAATTTCTTGATTCACTGTTATTTCACAAAGTATCTGTTATTATGTCCTTCCTTACAGACAAATGTTAAGTGCTAGGTTCATTGCACAAATTGTCTTTCTTGGTCTTGAAACAATCTGTAAATGCAGATGATAAATGAGGACCCTTTGCCTCAAAGACATGCCTGAAATCATTCCAATGGTAGAGCTGAAACTAGAGTTTAAATTTGATGGTAAAGTTCAGGATTCTTACTTGATACCTTCGTACATATGAATTGTTCTCCTGAAGCTTATATATTCCACATGTGCTCATTCTCCCTTCATGCTCCATGGCAGGCATTTATCATATGTGATCATATCAATCTGTCATCATCTCAACAGACTTTTTTTTTTCAGTTTTCTATCCTTTGTCTCTTCTCTTGTGGGCCTCCACCTACTTTCTTATGTTCCTATACAAATTGTAATCACCTTTATATAAAAATGAAAAATTAGAGTAATCTATTGGGGGTTCAAATAAAATCCCAAACATTCCCTTTCTTGCTTAGCCAGATCTGTGCTTTGTAGTATAGAATGGAATGAAATTGAAGAAATTGAAATTGAAGAAGGGTATTGCTTGTTGGATATCCTAAAATACTCTATACACAAGAGGATTATCAATTATACAAGAGGGTTTATATTTTAGCTTTGAAATAATTTTGTCTCTCAGTTTTTTGAATGTGTAATTATCATGGAGCATCACCACATATTAATATTTTTCTCATGTTTACATGCATTTTACTAGAAAATTAAACACAAATCTCAACACCTAAATAAAAATCATTCACTATCCCAATACACAAAATATATTACTAAAGCTAGTTAAAAATAACATATTGTTAATATGTATATATGTATATTTTTGAACATTTTAATCTGGAAAACTTTCTATGATTAGTGATTCTTAGAAATTTTAAAAATAAAAACAAATTAATTTATTTCTCAAAATACAACTTCTCAGTCAAAGCTTATCTTAGGTGGTTTTCATAACAACTAAATTCTCAAGGTAATTTTTCAGTTCTTTTTGAAAACCTGATTAGAGTGAGATATTTTTCAACACTGCAAAAAAGTTAAATCAGGGTGAAGAAATAGAAACAACTTGACAAGCTACCATAGAGCCTCCTGGAGAAATAAACTCAGGATCCATGACTACAGCTTTTAGTTATAACAGGGTCAGTTTTCATAATTCAGCAGTACAAAAATCAATATATTGTCTCTCCTTTATGCTCTTGATGGAAACTAATATGGGAACACATTTTTGCCTCTGATTAGGTATAAGACATAATGGTTTCAAATTTAGTAAATCACAACATAGAAGACTTTATAGATTTACTTTAGAAATCAGTATGCCAACAATATTGCTACAGGCAGAACTATCTATGGTTAGTTTTAAAATGTCTCTCTAGAAAAGGGTAAAGAGAAAGGGAAATATGATTGTATGTGATATATACATGTTGAAATCAGTTATCTCTAATTAAATATTAAAAGGGTAAGTTCAGCACTACTTTAGCTACTTTAAAGGGTGAAGACAAACTTTCATAACTGAGGCAGAAAGAAAAGAATTCTAACAGCAACAAATAGATTTATTTGAATATGTATCTATTCATTACCTAGAATAATCTAGATTCTATATTATTATGATGAAATGAATTATTTATCAATTTAACTATCACAGCACGCTCACTGCCTCCCTCTGTATATGGTAAAAATGTACATGGCATTCATATTTAGAATTTGCCTCTTCACAGATACAAAGAAAAGCCAGTGAAGCAACACTTGAGTCATTTTGTTTCAGTTCAAACCTTAGATGTACTGAATGTGAAAACCGGAAGCAATCATTTGGTCGATGAAGCAACTGTGTCTAGAGAGGTTAAAGATTCTTAATACATGAGATTGTGTATTTAGACCGCTAAGGGAAAAGGGGTAAATAAACTGTAATATTTGAAAAAAAAAAAGAAAGCCACTAAACGACAAAATGTGTCTAGCAAGGCAAATAGACTTTAATTCAATATAGTTGTTCCATCTGCTGGTAATACTAAAATTATTCACTCTGGCCATATACTGAAATTATAATAGTGATTTATAAAGTAATGATATAGTGTAATGGTAGACTCCCATATGCACAGTGATTGTACTTTACTCAACTTCTAAGTAGGATTATAATTGAATAATATCATTGTAAATGTGTACTTAGGTAAAATAAGTTATATTTTCTTGGGTAGTATATCTATGCCATTTATAATAACTAGGTTTTAATCGACATATTTTAAAACTTTTCTTCCTTCATTCTTTCACATGCTTCAGGTGTGTACCAGAGAAGTCCATTTTCCTAACAGAATGCTTCCAAAGTTTTATTGAGAGGTATTACAGCCCAGTCTTGTTCCTGTCAGACTAGAGGCTTGTGATTGGTCACATTACACACATAGACCCAACACGTTCACATAACCATACGTTTTTTAAATTTCTAGTGGACTGCCAATTAAAATAAAACATTCCTGGTTCAAATAAAACATAAAGAATCATCTCTGATTTAAACATTGCACATTTTCAACTCTGAAAGAGATTTTAGCCAAATTTATTATCTTTCTTGTAAAACACTGGTTTATTCCAGCAAGTTACCAAGAAGAAAGAGAAAGACTAGATTCATATATAGAAAAGCATCATGCAAACCATGCTGTGTAATAAGAAGTTTAGGAGATAACTTTGTCTTTGAAATGCAAAATCATCTAGAAAGTTCATCAAAGCATTCTTTCAGGAAATGTAGTAGCAGTCATTTCTAGTCTCCTACATTCCCTCCCATCGGGAACCTTTACTACTTTACACTGTTTGAAGTCATAGAGCCATTGAATGAACCTCTATGCTTCAGAAATAAGCTAATTTCATGCTGAGAGTGAAGAGATAAAATCAGAAAATAAAATGATGGCAAATATTGTACATGTTTCTCAGAAATGCAAATTACTTAGGATGATTTTCTTTTTTAAAGAAGGGGGGAAGAGGTAGAGAAGCAAAGAATAGTTTTAAGTCCTTGAATTTACTCACCAGTTTCCTAAATGCAGAGTCAGTAATAAGAACATCAATCTCACCCCTCTACTTTGACTCCACAGAAGAAAAGGGGAGAAGAGAAAAGCTTCCCAAGAACCCATCGGATCGGATCGGGATCTCTTTTTCTGTTGGTGCTGTACTGGCTCAGTCTCCAGGACTTTGCTTCCCTCCTCAGCACCCGCAGAGTAGGAGCAGGGCGAGTGTGGAAAGGCGATACACCTCCTCACCAGGTAGGATGCGACTCCCAGCGGAACTGAGCGGGCAGCCAATCAGACCGAGAGGAGGACAGCATAAATTATCCCGAGAAGAGTTGGGCCAATCACCGGCCCAAAGAGGCGGAGCTTCCCCTACTAGAAATCGAGCCCAGTAGGGAAAAGGGCTCCGTTTTTTTTAAAAGAAAAATAAACCCCTCTCCCTCCCAGCCGCAGAGAAGCGTTTGAGTGGCCTTGACAGACTCTCTTCCCAGGGAAAGAACGGGCTGGCTCCTTCTTCCCGCCCGCCTTCCCTCCTCTGTTTCCAGGCGCTGCTTCCTTCCTCTCCAGGCTTGGATTCCGGAGAGACCCGGGAGAAACAAGCAGGGCCTAACTGGTTTTCCCTCGGCTGGGGAGGATTCTGTTAATCTGGGTTAATTATCATTTGTTAACTTTGAAGGTGGGCCGGAGTCTTATTTCTCTTTGCAGACCTAGTAGCTGACATAGTGCCCTGCAGGAAGAAGTTCTCGGGAGATGTTGAATATGAATGAATGAATGAATGAATGAATGAATGAATGAATGAGCGGGCTCCTGCGTTCTCTCTGGGTACCCAGTCGACCTGCCCCCACCCCAGCGCCTCCTTTCCAGTGAGAGCATTTGCAGTATACTTTTCCAAACAAGGACCAAAAACATGATCCTAATGAGGAATGGCAAGGAGGAAACAATCTCATTTTACAAACATAAAAACAGAAATCTGATTGTGGAAAGGCTCTCTTACCCATAGGAATTGTGGGGATCCTACATGGGTGATCCTTGCTCTTTCCCCTCTTCTGTTGCCTTTGCGTTTGTTGGGCTCCAGTGTTTGGTACCTAACTTCAAAGGCTCTGCTCTGAGTTCCTAGCAGAGCCCCAGAGTTGCCATGGGAACCAGAAAGCCTCTGGCAGCTGGAACAACTGCACTATCAAAGAAGGCGGCGGCGGTGAAACAGGCTCTGTGCCCAGCCATCTTCTGCCTTTACGCCCTGCTAAATCCCTGCTTCCCATGGAAGTCACCTGAGGTTGTGGTCTTGGGTGTCTCATTAATCACTCCTAGAATTGCCAGGCTGCAGGACTGACGTGAAACGTACCACCTAGTTACTTGGGAATATTTGTTTCCCAGCAAATATTTTAAGCCAGAAGTAACAGTGTTTGTGCATGGCGGTAAGGAAACTGTTGCTGCACTGCCCACTGAAATCACTTAGAGGAATGGAATGGGGGTAACAAGGTCACTGATTTTTTTTTTTCTTGCCTGAAATAACAAAGATTGAAGTGCTGGGCTTTTCTCTCATCTGTGTGATTCTCCATCCTTGTAGTCTACAGTGAAAATAAATATTGACCCTCCTTGTTTGTCTTCTCCCACTCCATGTTAATTAGACAATATTTTTCTCTTCTAGAAAACATGTTAATCAAAGTAGTTTATATCAAAAATTTATAAAACAGTAACAGCTCATAAAATATTTTGAGCTGACTAGATTTAAGTAAAAGGTGATAATATAAATCCAGATTGTTGTGAATTTTCTTTTCTCTCCTCCACACATTTTGATTAAGAATGTACTTTGGATAGTTATTTAACTGTATCATTGGATGCACAAGCTAATTCGCTGATCTGATTAGCCAGGGAAGTAGGAATTAATTCACTAGAAGTATGTTTTGAATAACAAATACTGGTCTAGTTACCCCTTGCATTTTCTTAAGATTAGGTAACAGTTTTGCAATAAGAGTGGGAATATGATATTGCCTAGTGTTATAGCTCACATTTAATAATCTCATCAGTAATTCTTAACAAGGTTTTACTCTTACTCTTCTAATATGTAACTGAAAGATGCTGAGAGCACTTCAAGAGAAATTAATGAAGGAAAGGTGAAGTATATATTCTTAGGTCAGAGCACAGTATAAAGGATAAAGGATTAGAATAGGGGAACATTTCTCATATTTCCCTAAATCTGATTTTGACAATTTTGTGCTAAATAATTTTCAGTTTTTCACTCTCTTTCATGCACACTTATCTGACTCTTTAGTTCTGTGTCTCTTTGTTTTGGTATTTTTTCTTTTTGTAATGTATGTTTTCTTAGAACCTGATTTCAATCTGATTTTATCACAATTATATTTCCCTAGAAGTCATATAAAAGTATATAATCCCTCTAGAACCTCAAAAATAAAAAGAAGGAAAGAAAAGAATGATAGCTTTGTATATTGGCCATTCCTTGACCCCTATCAGTCACTCATTTGATTTGACAAACCAACTCTGTATGCAAATGTGCGTGTGTGTGTGTGTGTGTGTGTGTGTGTGTCTGATGGAATCTATTAAATTCTGAATAAAGCAAAGCAGATACCATGCACTCATTAGGCAAACTGCAATGCCTCATTGAAGAACATTCATGGGGAAACAGATCATTAGCTTCCTCACCCTCTTTGTCTCTGTGCTCATAGTTTCACTGTCATTGATAGCCATACTTTGCTTCTTCAACTCCCATTCACTCTCCAAACTCTTTGGTCTGGCTTTTGCCTTTGTAACACTAATGGTGCCATGTTGCTAAATCCAGTGGTAGTTTCCAACACTCACTTTGTATGAACTCATCTGTATTTGATCTAGCTGACCATCCCATTTTTTCAAAACCCTCTTAGATATAAAAATATTCCTGTTTTTCCCTTTATGTCTTTTCTCTACTTGCCCTATATTTAAGAATTCTTTGGATGCTAATTCTATCTTTTTAAAATCTACATTTCAGTGTTCAAATATCAGCTCAGCTTGTTTTCCTCTTACATCAAATTGTTGCCTTTAGTAATGACATCTATTCAAAATCTGTATATACTGCTGTAAATACTTAAAGTCTATCACCTCAAATAATACTGGAGGTCAAAAAATATCTATTGGGTTTTAAAAATATATACTAAACATATACCAGCCAGATAATCAAACAATAGATCTTACTGTTCTTTTGTTTTTTGTTTTGTTTGTTTTGTTTCGTTCTTTTGGTTTTTGGTACCAGGGATTGAACTCAGGACCTTTCACTTGCAAGGCCTGGCACCACTGAGCTAAATTCCTGGCCTGTAGACCTCAGTTTTCCCCAGAGATAATCTATCATCAAACATTTTCATTATCTCCAAATCTTATTTCCAGTTTAAAGGATAGCCTATGGTCACACCCAAGATCCTCTACTTATTAACTATCTAAAGATGGAAAGCACACTTCTCTTTTCAGAGACTTGTTTTCTCCATTAGTACTCCATCACTGTGACAAAATACCTCAGCAAAACAACTTAAAAGAGAAAAGTTGCATTCTGAAACAATTTCAAAGGCTTCAGTCCAGGAGCAGCTAGCTGGCTTCATTTCTTGGGCCACTGGCGAGGCAGAAATGTCATGGCATAGAGGGTGTGGTGAAGCAGAGCTCCTCCTCTCATGGCAGTTGGAAGGAAGTCAGGAAAGAAAAGAGACAGGGAGGAGGGGCTGAGACAAGATATAGGGCCCAAGGCCACATTCCCGTGACCCACCCCCTTGTCCAGGGCCCACCTCCCCACAGTCCATTCAGCCATGAACTCCTCAGTGTATTGATCCATTGATGAGGTTAACCCTCATGATACAGCCACTTCCTCAAAGTCTATCAGCTGACTTGGGGGGAGGCATTTTAGATCCAAACTTTAATGAGTTACACACTGTTTATGTGAAAATAAAATTGTATAGTTTTTATGAAACAGAAGAGTGCTCGGCACTTACTAAGTGCTGAGATAATCTTAATGGTATTACTGTAATTATCATTATCCTACATTTTTCTGTATCCACTGTCAATCCAAGTGGCCATCAGGTATTAGACTGCTGCAATCCCTTTCCATTTGCAATTTTTGCCTCTCTTATTTATTTATTATATAAGTGCCAGAATGATCTTTTACAAAGCAGAAATCTGAAATTCTGTTCTGCTTCAACCATTTAGATCTCCTATCATACTTAGAACAAAATGCAATATTATTATGATAACATTTGTGACCTTACAGCTCCTGACCCTTACCTTTCTCTCCTGCCTCATCATTACAGTTTTCTCATCTCCTTGTGTTCCAGGAAGAATGTGTTTCCTTCAATTTCATTACTGCCATGCCTTATCTTTTCCTTATGGTTTTGCAGATGATTTCTCTATAGCCAGACAACCCTGTTTCCATTCTTCCACCCTTTATTTGGGGATTTCTTTGTCATCCTCAGTCTCAGCCTAACTGACACATCTTTGGAGAACCCCTGCTTCCTCGGTTTAAGTTGACTTCTCAATTAGCACTCTGTGCATTTCCTTCCCGATACTTGCTCTATTTTATAATGCATTCATTCCCTTAATTCAAGAACCAGTCACAGAACACCTGAGTTTCAAGCACTCTTCTCTACACTAAAAATACCAAAGTAAGCAAAACAGACATGTTATTATATTCTCTCAAACTTTTTATAAAATGAGTTAAATTTTCTTTCTGAAAAAAAGTTGTATAATCATTAGCTTGATATATGTTTTCTATTGACTGTCACTATTCCCAATATCTGACATAACATCATAATACCATCGTTGAATAAATAAATAAAGATTAATAATCTACATTTTCATATTACTATTTCTATAATTCTGAGCATAATACTACATTTTGTCAGCATATTTTCTTTATAAAAATAGGATTTTAAGATGGAATTTGCTGATATTTTAGTCACTTTCCTCCTTCCTGAGACACAGCACTTGACACTTGACAAATGTTAAAGGAGGAAAATTTCATTTTTGCTCACAGTTTGTAGAGGTTTCAGTCAATATCTCACTGGCTCCAAGGCAGGGTGGCATGGCAGAGGGGAATTGCAGAGGAGAACCTGCTCATGTTATGATGGTGTGGAAGCAGAGAGTGAGTCAAGGGAGAAGCAGGGGAGTGAGATATGATTTTCCAGGAACTCAGATCCTAGGAACTAATCCACTGGAGATTATCACAACTCTAAAAGTCCTAAAAGTATCATCTACCAAAAGTCCCATCCAAGGGCCTATATGGCTTTGGG